GTTCAAAATTATCCTATGTCATTTTTATTGCCTACATATTTTTAATATCCCAATAAAATGCCGGTTTTTGTAATTTTTAGCGACATTTTGGGTTTATTGAAGGTTATTTTTTGGTTATTTTTTTTATAATTTTGGTTATTTTTTTTATTTATTTTTACCTCAAGAACTGTTACAAGCCCTGTAGGAATGAACTTGATAACCTTGGTTGTGAAGCAAGAATACTAATCGTCCCTTGTCTTTAAGCAGGGATGACTATAAGGTTCTCTTGACAAGTCTTTTTTCATATTTTATCTTAGTTTCAATTGTTTCAGAATATGAAGCGGAAGAGATTCTAACGTACGAGGAAGTGGCTTTGTATTACCCAAGAGCCAACCACAAGCGGCCGATAGTCCTGATTGGACCTCCGAACATCGGACGACACGAACTACGCCAGAGACTAATGGAGGACTCGGAGAGATTTGCTGCAGCCATACCTCGTAAGTCTTGGAGCAACAGTTTTATTTTAACTCTTAAAATAATTTCAGTAAGTTTTAGAGCTAATTTTATCGTTAACAAAAAATTGTATGCCTCTAAGATGGCAGGATAAACTATTTAAGCTCTAACTGAAGAACAACAGGCTTTGGGAATATACTGAACAACAAATACTGAAGTAGATGTTCAATGGCTGTATCCACTTTTTTTATAAATAATAAAGTAGTTCAACGAGTCACCCACAGAGTGCGAGTGCACTTTGGTCAAAAATTAAGTTTTCTGCCTAATTTTATGTTGAGATAGTTTATGTATTATACAAATTTCTATTGATTACTATCAGTCTTGCTGTTGGTTTGACTTGGTTAAGTTGGGGAATTTGACTGAAAAAAAGTTATTTACTAATCACGCAAAAATTGAATTGGCATTTCTTTTACAAAGAAATCCATACTCAGTTAAACTTATAAATAGAAGATGAGTATCGTCAATGCTAACTGAATCCACACCCAAAAAAAACCTTTTTCTTACCGTGTACTTTACTCATGTAATTTCTTTAGTAATAATCTTCATTTGGTGGGCAAAGAAAAGCGTTTTTGTGAATTCCTTCAAAATCTAGAATCTAATTAGATATAGAGATAGGCTACCTACTTCAAAACTCATGATTATTGAGTATTCCAGGTCTAAGAGTAAAAATCTCCTCTTAAGGATTAAATAAAGTTACCGAGGAAAAAATATAGTTTGTTGCAGAAAGAGAGAGTAATTCCAGGAAATGTATTCCACTATTAATTGTTCTTTCATTTTACATTCTTTATATTGTAATGAATGGAGTATGAAATCTTTATTCTGCACCGTTGAAAATCCTCATAATTTCTTTTTCTAGACACAAGCAGAACTCGCAAGGACGGTGAAGTGGATGGGCAAGACTACCACTTCATCACAAGAGCTCAGTTCGAAGCCGACATCCTCTCCCGCAAGTTCGTAGAACATGGAGAGTACGAACGAGCGTATTACGGCACATCGCTTGATGCCATTCGTTCAGTCGTCAACGCCGGCAAGATCTGCGTGCTCAATCTTCACCCGCAGTCGCTCAAAATACTGCGAAGCTCGGACCTGAAGCCTTACGTTGTGTTTGTCGCTCCTCCATCGTTAGAGAAGCTTCGACAAAAGAAGATACGAAATGGTGAAGCCTTCAAGGTATGTGAGCACTTATTACAAGTAGATTTTAATTTTTTTCTCTCCTTTCGGCTAACACAAATTTTTTTGTTGGCTAGTCCGACTTAACATGGTTGTACTTCATTTTTTTCGTCTGCTAAGCCTGAAAGAGAGTACATGAAGCTTAGTCTATGGATAAGTCTCAGTTTTATCTAACTACGCTTTACCTGTCACCAGGAGGAAGACCTGAAGGACACGATAGAGAAAGCACGAGAGATGGAGGACAAGTACGGTCACTTGTTCGACATGATCATCATCAACAATGACACAGAGCGAGCCTACCACCAACTGCTTAACGAGATCAACAGTCTGGAGCGAGAGCCTCAGTGGGTGCCTGCATCTTGGCTCAAGTCTCTGTGAGGAATATTGGTACGTCTGCGAGGTTCAAAAAGCTTTCGTTTAGAGATTTGATAGGTCAAAAGCCTTCTGTCATTGGTTGTTTATCTTCAGTAGTGACGTTGTAGACACAATCATACATTTATTTTCTCCTGTCTCTCAGAATAATATCGAAAAATATCGACAGTATCTATCAATCAAATCAATTTTTGTCCTAACAAAAAAACTAATCAAACTTGTTTGGTATTTTACTCCTAAAAAATCACACGGATATATTGACGTATTGGAAGCTTAGTTATAGATGTTAAATTGGTTGACCAGCTTGTAATGTCTGTGTTTGTTTGTTGCAGATTGTGGGCAGTGAAGGCCGAGACGGGCCGAGCTAGCGTCCACACTGGCGGCAACTCTGCCGCGTTCCGTTCAACTGCGTTCTGTCACGTTCTAATCACATGTTTAATCGAATCTTCGTGTTAGCTCTAGAGCCTATTAGTGCCGCTGCCGTTAACATTTAGATACATTTTTCTATTATACAAAATGATAGATTCGTCGATCCTTTCAATTCGTAAATGGATTAAAATTTGTATGTGTGTTATCAATTTTTATTCCCGTTAACGATGTTTTATCGATCATCCCTCCAGTCAATTTTATTGAATTTTTTGAGGAATCGATTTGTAGATTTTGTTCTCAATATTTTCTTGCATTTAAAACTTTTTATTACTGCAACTATGTATGGAGAAAGTAAACTTAAATATTTCTCAAACGGTTCCTTCATGTAATATCCAAGGCGAATGCAAGTTTGATCCCTGATGAAAGGAATTAACATTTTTTAAAGTAGTCTTTCTGATTGAATGTTTAAACTGGGAAATAAATTGACACAAGATAAAACCGTAGATTAAACATGAGCGTGTCGGTGCTAAAGTTCACATTCTGTAGTGGTTACCTTAATACTCCCTGTTATACAATATAAGCGAAACAGTATTTTTGTTATCTTTATTTAGTTTGAATGTAATAGAGTATATTATTTATGAATTGTGACATCACTCGAAAGACAATATCTTTACACCTACCTAGCTCGATTAAGGCCATTTTACTTAGTCTTTATTTATGGGTTAAGCGAGAAACTTTTAAGGTTTTTTAAACAATGTACAGTTGTATTATTTACTGTTATAATTCTTGTAATGTATAAAATTGTTTTATAATTTTTAATCACTTCTCGTACATTTTGCTGAGTTCTGGTTTTCCCAACTGTGTGGTGGAACAGTTTTATAGAATTGTACAATAAATAAAGAATTTGTCAACTCCTAAGTCCCTATCTTGTCAATTTTCAGTAGCAGTTTGAATAGTTGGTGTTTTACAGCTGTTTAGTTATCTAATTTTTAGAGTTATAAATTATTGTGGAGTTGTACAGGAAAGCCACAGTGTGAAATGCATTTAATATGTTTGATTTATTTTTCTAAATGGCAGACTTCCAATGATTTCAAGGGTTATTTATATCAAGTTTTAATATTTATATTCAGTACAAAAAATGTTCACAAAATTACAAGTTTTATTATTATATTAAGCCATTTTTACACTGATAACAGATTGTGAGTTTCTTGAGTAATTTTAAATTATTAGTTGATTTTAACAGAAAATGTAAGTTACAAATACAAATTTTATCATAGGTCTGCTACGTGTTAAGTCACGTTTGTTTCAAGTATTTCATTACTGGCGATTAGTTTGTTTAGTGAAATTATAAATGAAACTGTAAAATTTAGCCTGATGAAAGCTTTAAACTTGTGAGAAGTGAATAGCAGAGACTCGAAGTGTGTGCCAAACTTCAAGTAAAGACTGACGAAACCAGCAGCGCAGCAATATAACCAGAGTGGAGCCCAAGGAATTTATACTGTTGTACAGACTTGTTTTATTTTGTGTGTTGTTTATAGATTCTACTAAAGTGTGTGTACAGTTTATCGGTAGCCTTCATAATGTGATTTTTATTATCGTTTCCACCAACCCCTCTCGGGCTGTATATAACTTATCCAGAATGTTTATATTATATTGAAAAATTGATATTACGTTAAAACAATAGAGACTTTGTTCTACAAAGTTATACACAACATATTGTAAATCTTTGTTGTAAGACCTTAGTAAATGGTACTGATGTATGTTGGGATTGTTATTTGTAAAACCTTGTATACTTTGAATCAGAAGAGGCTCTTATTGTACCAGCTTCAATATTTTTTTATGGCAGCAATTTTGTTTGAGGATTATGCAAACATAATGTTAGAAAGTAAAATAACTATACCTAAATCGTATTAGTTTCGGAATTTGAGTTGACATGACAGAGAGGAAATACCCTTTTTACATTTTACAAATAATCATCAGAGGAAGATGTCTCAGACCCCTCACCACTTATCAAAATATCAAACGAATTTTACTGTCGATTATGGGTGCTAACAACAGATTTTGACCTAGACAGGTTCTACCTGTAGATATTAGTGCATTGGTACTAACCAACACACCACAACATAATTTACAAAACCATTCAGTTTTACTGAGCAACCCTATGACTGTAAGAAAAGCCAGTTAAAGGGCTAAACAAATTATGTCTAGGTATTGGAATAGGGAAATCACAGTTCCCGTACCTTTCCCGTCTGTGAGCGAGCTCTTGACTCAGCCATTGGGTATGGAATATTTAATATTTCAAAGGGTAGAAATCGGTTAAACTGTTGATGCTGGGTACTATATTATAGTATTTCATATAATGAGAATTTGACCTAGTGATCTTTTATTTGACCTAATGTTAAATTTATTTGAAGGTTTATATGTTCATTTTAAAACATGAAGTTTGCTGGTTTGATTCCAAGCGAGATTTTAACTGGACCCAGATGCCAATAGTCATTGGGCTACCAATTAATGGTGCTAAAATGTATTAGTCCTTACATAAACATAAAAAAATGCCAAAGGTGTATACAAAAAAATTTGAGGCAATGAAACACACCTTTAAATTTATATACATATATATATTGTGTAATCAAGTTTACAAAACAGTCAATTAAGCAACTGTCAATGTACAAGGTAAAATATATTATCAATTTGAAACATAAACCAATTCAGTGATTTGGTTACAACCATTACACTTAGTCGTCCTATAAAGGGAAACAAATTGTTTAACTGGTATTACTACCAGATGTTAGTCAGTAAAACAATATTAAAATAAAAGCATTTACTTACTGTCTTTACACAAGCAACTGCTTCCTAACAGATATTTGTCACTAAGACATATTAAAATCTAAGTATTTTGTTAGTTAATGTCTTTATGCAAGCTCGGATACCACTTTTTCTGATTCTGAATGCTACAGTGTGACTTGGTAGAAGAGCTGGGTTTATTGGTAGCAGCAGCTTGTGGTTGACTTTGACTATGGTATGGTAGACAATTAGGAGGTCCACCTCCAACCCACAACCGTGGTTCTTGAGGTGCTTTCTGGTTACCACAAGTCTTGTTGGGCTTCCACTGTTTCTTAGGTCTTTCTGAATAGATCTTTGGCCGTTCTATGACAGTTTTGGGATCAATACTCTGATTAATTTTATGATCACTTTCATTTTTGGCCTCTACTGTTTCTACACTTGCAGAAGGCAGTTTTTCAATTATTTTTGGACAGTCACTTTGTACAGGGTCATTTATTTCACTGACTGTTCTTTTCTCAGTTGGATTTTGGTTATCTTGATCTTGTTTGTTGTCTATAAGTGCTCGATGCATCTGTAGGAGTGCATCTATTTTTTCTTCAACTTTCTTTACCACAAGTGCTTGATCTTCAATGTTTTCTTCAATTTTCTTTGAGTTACCTTGTTGTTCTAAATTACAAGACTTTTTTTCTCCACTCAGATTTTTTGTTTGATCAGTTTCAGAATTACTTAACATTTCTGAAGAGTTTAAGGCCACCTTTTCAATACTTGCCAGAAAGGCATTAGTGTTTTTAGAAGTAAATGTTGATTGTGTTTCATTTTTTTGGATGGAATTCAGTAATTTGTTAAACTTACCTACTTCAGAATGTTTTAAGCTTTTACAAGATCCCTCATGATTAGTTGGCTTGAAAAAATTGTTGATAAGTTTTTGAGTTTCCTGAGTTGGCAAGTTTTCATGTGATGCAACTTGATTTACTGTTTGTTGTTCATCATTAGGAGAAGGTTTGCTTACAGTTTCACAACTCTTTTCACAATGTTTTTGAGTCGTAGACCTTTTCTCTTTTTCCATTGCAATTTTAGCAGCATTTCTTTTAATGGACTCTTTCATCATTAAATCTTTTATATCAGGTAACTTTTCAAGTTTCGACTGTAACAATCCTTTTAATGAATCTTTTCCATCGAGTGGAGATGACTTTTTAACACTGACGACAAAATCTTGCGCTTGGGAGACAAATATTTTGAAATCATATCTCATAGAGTTCATAAACCCTTTTATCAGTTTATGTTGTGTCCTTTTTACATGAACGTTCATTTTTATCCCCTTTGATTTTGCTGACTTCAGCACTGAAAGATTTATAGTAAAAGAAAATGGTTTGTTATCATTTGGGTGAAAAAGAGTGTTGGATATACAAACCTCTCTTTCAAACGAATTCAAATTAAAATCCATTTTATTCAAAGACTTTTCCTTTTTCTTGCGACGTTGCCAAACATCGACTTTACAACAACACTCAAATATTTGGCTATCTTCATGTGTAGAGTCAAGATTGTGAACATCCTGTGACGACTCCAATTTCTTTACTTTCTTAAAAACCTTTTCTTTTTGCAGGTTGACATCCAATTTATAAATGTGTTCCAAAACTAACATTATTGACTGTTTGGTCATCTGGCACCATTCTGTAAAGGCACTGTCGGAAGTCTGTGAACCATCGAAAGACATTTCTCCACAAGTAATGTTTATACTCAAATCGTCACCGAGATCAAGTGAGTCTTTATCAATACTGAACAAACCTTCCAACAAAGCGTCATCCGCTTGTTGCTCGCACAGCTCCAATGACACTTTACACGCTTCTTTGAAAACTGAACAGGTTTTGTCTACAACGTTTCTAGTTATATTAAGGCACAACTCAAACGGATCTTGGACCCTGAAGGTTGTGTCTGTTTTAAACTTGCACTTCGGGTCACTCTTGAGTCTTTCTTTGTACAACACCATTTCCTCGGGAAGTTCGCTTCCGTCTTCAGTCTCGAAATCTTTGACATGAACAGATCTTCCTAGGAGAGGACAGATGACATTGTCGAGATCGAAGTTGTAGTAGAACTTGAAGAAGCCAGTCAGTAGTTGTCGCAGAGACATGTTGTTTGGAGGGAGACATTGGGACTGAACACTCCACTCCTCATCACAGAAGCTGCACTCCCAGCCGAGACTGTACTGCTTGTGTTGACACATCTGCTGCAGTCGTGCGATGGTTGGCAGCAACGGCTCGTCAAGCTGTTGTAGGTAGAATATCACCAGCATCACCAGAGAATACGTGGTAAACTCTCTATGAGCACCGGAGTCAGTGATACCACATACCTGCAACACAACCACAATGCATGTTACACAATTGGCTAAGACATTCCGTTCCCTTGTTAAAGCTGTAGCTAGTTGAGTGACCAGCAGAAGAGTGCTCAAGTCAATCACTGATTTCTGTTTACTGTCAACTTGTTAAACAAGCTAAACTGACAGCAAAATTTATCGTAATGCATTTGTTATGTCACTTTTACTACTGTAGTAAACAAATTAAACTAGGAAACAGAAATAACTTGTGAACTAATAAGAACTTGCACATTAGCACTCTTAGTCAGTCTCATTCGAATTCAATTCATTTTTCATTAGAATAAAAACTGTCGACAGCTAGTTAATATAAATCGGACGTCTACTCCAGACTCCAAAAGTAAATGGTTACATATCAAGTTTATATTTGTTTTTTTTTTTTTTTTAGTTTTCATGGGAATGAGATTTTGAATCTAGACAGTATACAGTAGACTCCCTCTTATCCGGACTCCTCGGGACCGAGGCCAGTCCGGATAACGGGTTTTCCGGTTAAACCGACGTCCAAAAAAACTTGTTAAAACAGACCGTTTCCTGTGATATTCAACTTAAATTTAGGAGAGCATTGTATTTATTAATGTGATAACTGGTCTCAAATCTTTCCCACGAGAACAGTTGTTTCAGTACCGCCCACTTCCTGCCAATCTAGTCCGGATAAACCAATGTGCTGATAAAAATAGTCCGGTTAAAGAGATGTCATTTCCGCCGAGTGTAGTCCGGTTAAACAGATGTCCGGTTAAAAGGTATCCGGATAAGAGGGAGTCTACTGTAATATCAACTTTGCTGATCTTTTTACTGTGTTTCAAAAGGGCTACTAAAATGTTTAATCAATTAGGCCTACTACTGCTGAAGATAGACAGTAGACAAAGCTACTAATTAAATAAAAACCCATTTACTCACCTTGGCCCAATATTTGATGATCATAACTAAAGGCTTGATACGATGATCCAATGAGACCAGGAACCTGAATTAAAACAAAATACTGTCAAAATTGTGGAGTTAATAGTGTGAGGCAACAATGGGAGGGACAAAGGCAACACAGTTTTGGAATTTACAAAGGTTTTTTTTTTTTTATAAAGTTTTGATCTAAATACTAGCTAGATACTAGGCTAGGTTTTGAGGCTAAATATTAGTTGATGCTTTGACTGCTAAGGATATCTTAAGATCTACTCATGCAAAGCAATCTCACATTCTCCTGTTGGGCCGGTACTCCCGCTCTTTTCTAACCTATTTCGTATGCAGTTATTGAAGTTTCTGAGCGTTCACATTTTTGTATCGCTTGTGACATAGCAAGATCGTTACTTTTTTTAAATGGCTTCAACCTCAGACACAGCAAATATAAAGATTGAAGAAAAGTCTGCAATACAACTGACTTGGGTGGATCAGTACCTGACAAAAAAAAGGCCCAATGTATGGCAATGGCTACAGTTCTCGCAGCTAGTCTGGGCGCGCGGACCCTTGTGTACTAACCGTCCCCCACGCCAAAGCCATGAAGACAGCAGTGAGGCGCTGAACAACCCCAGTGTGCCGTGTGGGCAGAATGTTTTTGGAAATGTGCAATAAACACTCCCCTCTACACCCCCTGCCCTAGCGCGGCCGCGCGCCCAGACTAGCTGCGAGAACTGTACATATCAGATGTACTGACCTGATGAGCCGAGTGTTACAGACACCCAGCTGACTACTGGCTGTCAGGTCACCTTGCCAACCAGTCTTGACATGTTGGAACTTGATGATGGGAATCCTAGCACTCGGGATGTAAACAATGTTTCTAAAATGTCGCGATCTGTACATCAATTTGCCTTCCTTCCGCACAAAGTTCTTTAAAGGTTCTCCATCTGTTGGACAAGTGAAATATGAGTAGAACCCTTCTGGATAAATATCTCTGAAGGAGAACATTCTATGTAAATATCTCTGGAGAACCTTCTAAGTAAATATCTCTGAAGGAGAACCTTCTACGTAAATATCTCCGAAGGAAGACCTTCTACGTAAATATCTCTGAAGGAGAACATTTTATTTCAATATCTCTGAAGGAGAACCTTCTAAGTAAATATCTCTGAAGGAGGACCTTCTAAATAAATATCTCTGAAGGAGAACCTTCTACGTAAATATCTCTGAAGGAGAACCTTCTACGTAAATATCTCCGAAGGAGAACCTTCTACATAAATATCTGAACAATAATCCTTTAACGTAAATGTATTTGAAGGATAACCCTTCCATGTAAACATCTATGAAGGATAACCCTTCCGTGTAAATATATCTGAAGCAGGACTCTTCTATAAATTTCTGAAGGAGAACTTACTTTCATGTTAATCATGTTGGTAGCCTCTGAATCACTTTAACATAATACCAATTTTGACTCTCATTGGGAGAGTCTTCTTCAGGTCACACACAATGACACATGATGTCATTTTTTGTTAATTTAGAATTAAAATTAAAATTCAAAACTTCATTTGTTTCATGTACAACAATACAATAAATAGCGTCACAGTTCCTTAATCTAACTCAGTACATTGTTGAATTGTTCAGTTATGAAATTGACAGTTATCTACATACATCAGCATTCACATCAGTTAAATTAACAACTCTTCAAGATAGTAAAATGCATTTCTGATCAAAAAACTTTTGAGTTCACTTTTGAACTTGTTTTGATTTTCTGTGTTCAATATTTATGTTGGAATATGTTTTAAGAATACAGAACCGGCATAGGATGGTTTCTTTTTATATAGCTCAGAATTATGAAAAGGTAAGACTATGTTTTTTTCTTTTTTTTCTGGTGTTGTAGTTATGTATATCTTCATGTGTTGTAAAATTGACTTTATGTTTCCTGACATGCATAATACACTCAAGGATATACAAACTGTAGACGGTTAATATATTTTGGTTAGTAAGATGCTCCCTTACAGATTCATCAGACTCAAGATTTAACATGGCTCTTATAGCTCTTTTTTGACTAATTACAATTTCAGAAAGGTTTTGTTTGGATGTACCTCCATACACACAAACTCCATAAGATATATGGGATTGCACGTGGGCATGAAAGACATTTTATAGAACTTTTGAATTACAAAGATACAATTTTTTTAAAGCATACATTCCTGAGTTTATTTTAGCTAAAAGATAGTCTATATAGGTCCCAACTAAGATGGTTATCGATATAAACTCCCAAAAATTTTGACGTATCTACCCTTTTTCTATTATATTATCATCAATAAAAATGTTAAAATCGTTCTTGTTTCGGTTTTGTTTTGTGGTAAAACGAATGTGATTAGTCTTCTGCGAGTTTAATATTAGATTATTAGAAGAAAAAAAGTCCTGAAGTTTACCTAATTCTTTGAATGAATTTATTTCCATTTCCAAGCCAGTCTTTGCAGACATAATAAGATTAGAGGGATCTGCATATAGTATAAGTTGATTTTTTATGTCCTTGAGTTTACTTAGATAGCTTGGCATATCCCTGATGTAGCTTAAAAATAATGAAGGTCCAAGTATTGATCCTTGTGGTACCCCGTGTTCGATCGGTTGCAAAATTGATTGATATTTTATAACTTGATTTCCTTCTGTTTTTGATATTTCTACATATTGACTCCTATTTCGAAGGTAACTTTCAAACCAATTTAAATATGAGTTTTTGACGCCTATACTACTTAATTTTTCAACAATTTTGCTATGGGATATGCTGTCAAAGGCTTTAGATAAATCCATAAAAATTCCAGTAACTATGTTTTTCTCATCCATTGATTCAATTACTGACTCAATGAAACTGATTAGAGCGGTATTTACGGATTTGTCCTGTCTAAAACCATGTTGTTCTGGGCAAAAGAGATTATTATCATTCAAATGTTTTACCAATCTTAAATACATGGCTTTTTCAAAAAATTTTGATATCAAAGGTAAAATAGAAATAGGACGATAATTTTGAATTTCTGTGTCATCTCCCTTTTTCAAAACTGGTACCACTTTTGAAATTTTGAGTTGCTCTGGAAAAATTCCTGAAATGAACAAAGCGTTGACTAAATGAACTAAAGGCTTAATGAGTGGATCCCTAACAAAATTTATTACTTTAACAGGTACCCTATCATAGCCACTAGACCACTTATTTTTTAGTGAATCAACAATGGCTATTGCTCCTTTTCTTCCATTGGCGGACATCTAAAATTTGGAATATGATTATTAAAATCATTATCATTATCATGCCAACCATCCTGTGCCGGTGTCTTTTACCATGTTATCTATTATAGTTACAAAATAATTGTTAAAACTATTGACAACTTCCCTGGGATTTGTAATTTCACAATTATCTGACCTTAAAGTATAATTATTTTATTCTCTTTGTTTGTATTCTTTTGTGTGTTTTTTTTTATGAAGCTTTACTTATATTTTCAGAGTTTTTAATTTTATTGTCAAAATAGTCCCTTTTTGACTTTAATAGATTGAATTTATATTGTTGATTTTTTTTCCTTAAATTCAGCTTTTAGGATTTCTGAGCCAGAAGATATTGCCACTTTACTAAGTTCAATAAGATTTTTTTCTTCTTTTAATTCATGTATTACACAATTGTTTGTATTTTTTGTGATTTTTTCTGAATAACCGGGAATGATAAATCAAAATAGTGGAATATATTATGGAAGGTTTTATATTTGTCTTCAATTCGCGAGTTACAGAGTGATATCCAGTTTTCATTTGCCAAGAGTGATTTAAATAATATCATATTATCAACAGAAAAACATCTTCCCTGAAAGTGAATGTTTGGAGGATTTATTTTGTTAGGTAATAATAATAGTTCTATTATTTGCGCATCGTGATCAGAAAAAGCAGTTATTACACCCTTTACTTTTACGGTTTCTTTATGAAAATTTGTTAAAACATTATCAGATACAGGTTTTAGATTTATCTATGACTCGAGTTAGAAAATCTATTAAATAATTCATACCATGCCGTGTAAGAATATTCTTTAACTCCTTTGATTCAGGTGATACAACAAGCATATTTATGTTAAAATCCCCCATTATGATTAAAAAATTATTTTTATTTAACAGAATTCCAATAAGAGAATTCAAACGAATTAAAAACTCTGAATTATGTAATTGTGGTGTTCTATATATCCCCACCAATGTAAAACTGATGCCATCAACATTAAACTTAGATACACTACACTGAAAAAGTTTATCTTCAGTCAGATCCTCAACACTTTTTAAATTTAAAGGTTTAGATTTTAGACTCGCCTCTGATAATATCACCACACCTCCACCTGAGGTCGTGGTGCGGCTGTATTCAGAAGTTACTATGAAGTTGTTTAAATTGAAACGTTCTAATTCGTATTTCTTCATGTTATGTTCCGTTAAACTTACTATGTTAGGTTTTATTTCATCTAGAACATGTCAGTAGTTATGATAAAACAGTAACACACCAAAGTACACAAATGACCATGGATAAAACAATGAAAGTAGGCCTACAAACATCAAAGTCAAGTCAAGTACTTAAAAAATCAAATGTGCAGAGACGTATATGGCATGGAAGTTTTGTCCAGTCTTTGTATTTACATGTTTTTTGTCTGTGATTGTGTGTGCATTTTTATGTGCTCACAGTGGTGTATCCATAGAAGAGTTACAACTGTTCGACTTTTAAACTCAATACTTGAGAAGTTACTCAAATACTCAACTTTAGTGGTAAAAAAACACCACTCAACTACCCCAATAAGTTCATACACACTATTCATATACATACGTCCACATAAACTGTACACACATTAAAAGTTATTCACTTGACAAAAACATACCTTTTTGAAGGAATAGATCAACATCACTATTTTTGAATGCCAGAGTTGAACCGCAGCTGCCAAAGACAATGGCTTGACAATACGGAATGACAGGGTGGAAAAGATTTTCTATGTCAGATTTAACCTCTTCCAGACTTTGATACATCTCTGGCGATAGTTCCACCTAATATAACACAATTGGAATGTATTTAATCTCTTTTTGTTACAATATACACTGAGGTTGTTTTTGACTCCTCCCACTATTTGTTATTGATTCTGAAACAATTTGTTATTCTTTTTGAGTGGACATAGACTAATGCCTCCTTGCTTCCTTTTGAGAACTTTTGTTTAAACCATTGAAACACTATGGAATATAAACATAAATTCAATGGAATACAGTGGACTCCATTCCCATCACCTAATCTTGCTGGTTGTAAACTTGTGAAATATAACTCCAGACCTACACATTTATGAGAAAATTGTTCAAAATCACTAATCAGATCACAAATATTACAATAACAGACACATATTACCTGCCTTATAAAAGAAGCAGTTTTTTGTTTACTTATAAAAAAGGATTTTTGCCTTTTTGGGCCAACAAGACAAACAAAAAATAATCAGTACCAGGTCTGGGTGTTACATGCCTCCTACAATACAGCTACTTCCTATAGGAGAAATTCGCTACAAAAACATATTTGAATAAAATATTTGGCAAGGTGTGCTGAGGTAATATTTCCCCCTCTTAATTGAGTTACTGTGATAGTTTATGTGAAATAAGTCACATATAAGATTATATAGTTAAGTTATTGTTTCAGTTTGGCATGGTTAAAAAGTTAGGGCTTATCTAAATGTACATCTGTCGATGGCTCAAACTCAACTACTTCCATTTTCATTCTAAAACTGGTTAAAGGTTTATCGTTGGAATAGAATGTCTAATTACCTGAGAGACAAAGTCCGCAGCCTGCCACAGAATGGCGTCGTCTGCAGAACACAATCCTAGGTCAGCCAATTTTACAGGCATCTCCTTCAGTCCTATCTTTCCTTCTGGCAATTCTGTACCCTCCACTTGTGACAAGGTTGAACTAGTCTCTGTTGTGAAAAAAATAAGCCAATATGATATAATAAGTATTGCATAAAGCCTTTTCGATGATAATGCAGTTTAAATTGATTAAAATTGAATTATATTTCAACTAGGGATGTGTTGATTCTTGATACCACCAATTCATAGATATAGGATTTTTTGAGAGGATAGCAGGCTTACCTGATTCCTGTGCCAGTTGGAACTCTTTCCCATTCAGGTAAGCCTGCTATCCTCTCAAAAAACCTAGGCCTTTGCGCTCTATGTTACACCCTTAATTCATGGATAAGTGTATTAAGTATCAATCATCAAAAAGTAAAGTGTATTTTTAAAAATAGAGTTTTTAAGCAATTCATTTTATCGTGGCAAACAAATCTTATTTGCTAACTTAGAAATATTTTAAATTACTCAATGCTGATGTCATGTTCGTGACAACAATAAGAATAATGTCTTTGTTTAGCTTCAACGGTTTAACCTCTTGAATCCCACGGGCGCGTATACGCGTCCGCATGCAGTTTGAATTTGCCGCGCTAACTACGACTGCAGGGAGAAGAATAATATGCCGTGTTTGGCACCATTCTATTCTGGGAAAAACGCTGATTCTTGTGGTATATTTTCTTTTGCGCTAGCTTGACATGCATCACTGCTGCGATGTTTAAAAGTTAGAACTCAGCTGACGTTTTGTTGTGTGTTGTGCAATTACGTACGTTGCTAGTTTGTTTGAAAACAATGAATAATCGTGTCAGAACGTCGTGTTCTCTTCAAGATAATGAAATTAGTTTATACTTAGATAATGAAAGGTTGTGTGATATATCGGGAGTGGATTATTACGGCTATTTCGATGACAATATTAGTGTTCAGTGAAGTGATGGTGATGAAGGGTTAGGCCTAACAGTGTATGATGTTGGTATAACCTCAAAACCTGATTCCCGGGTAAGTGGTGATTATATTTCACATGATGACACAATAAATAAAATTGATAGTACATGTATTATGATTGAGCCATGCGAACGAGCTCACTTATGAAGTAAAACGGGGCAAAGCCCGCGGGTACAGCTAGTATTTTATAAATTTATAGTTTGTTATTTTATTGCTCTTCAGTTTGTTCTGAACAAAAAAAATTATATTTATATATGTTATCTTAGTTTTTTAATTTTTTACAATTTTTTTAAAAAAGGTCTGAAAATTAGCAAAACATACCCGGGCTGGGGAAAGTAGCATGACCTAGCTTACTCGGGAGTCAAGAGGTTAACAAGTAAACAACAGTGCAAACTTGCTTGAGAACCTTTGGCCAAACTTGTATTCTTTATTTCAAGTTATTAAAATTAGTATGTTTAAAAATAAGATAAGCATAGATAAATGGCTAAACAAAGTCGAAATAAGTAGGTTTAGCTTAGTTAAAAAACCCTATTCAATCATTATTTACTCAAAATTAGGATGAAATTATGTTGACAAAATCTGACTCTCAAAAATGTATAAAAGCAAATATCTTACCAGATAAGGCCCTTTCTCTCTCTCCTCGCCTTTTGAACTCCTCTTCTGGTCTCACACCTGCAATCATGATAGGTGTTTTAAAATAGGAATTGTACTTTTAGTTTAGAAGTGTGATTTTTCTCCCTGTGCAACTACTTAAATTAGAGTTTATTTGAAAAATCTTGAGTAAAATTCTTGCAAATGAATAATGGAAAAACGAGTTAAATTTTCAGCCATTATTGGATTGGTCCCAATGTCATCATGACTGTAACCTGTGTTTGTCACCGGTGATTGCTAAGACATTATCATTGTCATCTGCCATAGACAATTTGGGAACATTTCTCGCGATAGGGGAGACATCATCATCTTTTCCCTCAATAGCGGTACAATCAAGATCATCTCCTGCAATTGTTAGGAGAATTTATCTTTGTCATTTCGCGATTGTGGAGACATCTTAGTCACTCGTGATTGCAGAAAAATTGTATACAGAACTACTATACTGTCTAGAGAAAATCATGAATAAAATGTAATCTTTCCCAAAGACTCACAATGTTTAGAATTATATTCAACCCTTTGAGTACTAGGAAGAAGAACAAAACTAACTGAAATACAGGTGGCACTGGAGTGAAGAAGAAACTGCATGACTTAAGTCAGTTTTATTTAGTCAGTGACAGTGGAAACACTAGCCAGCCTTTACATTTTTAACCAGTTTTATTACTTTTTATTCCGTTTTAATTATTGGATCAACTCAACAAGTTTTGATTACTGTTATTTTGAGAGTATTTTAAAGAATTTTTTTACATACCACAAATGTATGTATTATGATGATGTGGTTGCTTACAATGACCTGAGGATGTTCAAAGGAACGAAACTAGTTGTCATACCAACAACTGTGGTTGGATAAGGTAATCCTTTTATTTTACCAAAATAATTTGTATTTTGTGAGACTTTTTACCTTTTAATTATATTACCTGTTGTTGAATTGTAACTGTTTTGTACTCACTATTTTACTAACCAGGCTAATTTGGAATAAGACAATAAAAAAATATATAACAAAGATAAGTCTTGGTATTTGCAGTAAACGTTATATAAAACGGCGTTTTCGTTGTACATTTTCTAAGTTTTCTTTTAATTGTAATTTTCTGATAGCATTATTTGAAACCAAATTATGATAAAATCAAAAGGCATCTTGTTTACAACTTAATCTATACCATAGTATAAGTAACGTTTGCACACAATGATTTCAAAAACGGCTCCTATAATTTCCTCCAATTTGTTAGAAATATCTTAGTTTTATGCCAAAAACAATATCCGTGCAAGGCCATGTTCTGTTTAGGGGTTAAGTTCATTAGATTACATAAAACAAAGTGTGTTTTCACCAGTAAATATATCTTTATTAAGAAATATTGCTTTCAGTTAACACAGTTTCAGGTACAGTAGACCTAGTTGTAAATAAAAATAACTATTAATCAATAATCACCGATATAATTGTTATTGGAACTACGAGGCATGTTTTTTAAGTAAGTACCGTTTTTAAATTTCTCCATTGCAGTGCTGCGATTGGCATTTTGGACACTTTCGCTGTATATGTGCATCTATTGGCAAGCCCTAGCCGGAAATTCGACAAAAATCGGCCGTGTTTATATCCGGTATTGAGCATTCAAAATGGTGCCGCCAATTGAGATTGCCGCCGACTGCAAAGTGCGCGCTGTAATTAGAGTTTTAAGTGCTAAAGGTGTGAAAGCCATTGAAATTTATCGACAGATTAGTGAGGTGTATGGCGAGAACATTTATGAGTGACGGAATGGTACGCAAGTGGGTAAGGGCCAGCGAACACAGAATGGCATCTAAAGACGGCCCCACCAACGTCCATCATGAGCAACGCACTGGGCAGCGTCACTGTCCCCAGTACCCAGTGCGTTGCTCATCATGAACGTTGGTGGGGCCGTCTTTAGATGCCCTTACCCACTTTTGTACCATTCCGTCACTAATAAATGTTCTCGCTATACACCTCACTAAGCTGTTGACAAATTTCAATGGCTTTCACACCTTTAGAACATAAAAATCTAATTACAGCGCGCACTTCACAGTTTGGCGGCAGTCTCAATTGGCGGCACCATTTTGAATGCTCGATACTGGATGTAAACATTGTAAACGATTGTTGTCGAATTTCCGGCTAGGGCTTGCCAATAGATGCACATATACAGCGCAAATGTCCAAAATGCCAATTGCAGCGCTGGAACGGAGAAGTTTAAAAACGGTACTTACTTAAAAAACATGCCTCGTACTTAGGACTACATATGATTTAAATCACTGCATGATACTTACTGTAATCTTTATATTGGGTTACAAAGAGCCTTCTCCCATGGACAAAATCTCTTCCTTTCAGGGCCTTTTGAACTGCGTCCCTAAATCGACCATAATTTATTTCTCACTAAATATAGTACAAACATTTGTCTTAAACAAGTCGAGAAACATGTCAAAGTTGTTCAGTGTATTTATAAACAGTATTTTACAAGAAAATCTCATTTAAAGGATTTGTTAGTTAGGAGTTGTTGTTGTGTTAGGAATTGTTGTTTCAAATACCTTGTTATTATTGGGTATTGTGTGAAAATAAAATCTGTTTCCAATTGAGAAACACCCACTTCACAAGTAAGCCTGCTCTTCCAATCAAAAACAAAATCAATCATATTAGCATAGACTAACCAACACAAGTAGACTTCTCATCCCATTGTAAATTTTGAAGCACGTTTTTCGTGTCTAGTTCATGTACGTGACACATGGGCGCTAGTGTCGACGAAACTTTGTTTCTATTATTTTAGGGTTAATTTCTTGATTTGTGCTTTACTGTTTGGTTATATAACTAGGGGACAAGTTATTGTTTACGATTAGATCGTATTATTTGGTTAAACGAGGTTTTAAATGGCTGTAATAACGGGAAACAAATTGTAAACAAAACACGACATCTGCAGAAAACCGTACAGAACTAACAATAAAATTGTCTTCAGCTGTTCCATAAGGATGAGAAATCTACTAAGGGAGTAAGTTTTATCTATGATATTAGGTATTAAATCTTAGATATTCATTTGGGTAATTTTCAGTACAGTAGACATGTCATCCTTTATTTTTTATTTGAAGCCTGTTTTAAGTTCAGTTATTATAGAATATACACAAAGACTAATCGACTAGACTAGATGTTTGTCTTCATTTCAGGGAAGCTTTTTACAGTGTGAACTTTACTCTTCCGATATAATAACTGAGGGTGTGCATTTCTTAACTAACGGAGAGTTATATTTTAAACAAAGAAAAGTAAAATTTACCTGTAGACAAAGACAAGACATCAACACTCAAGCAATGTCGGAAGTAAATGCCTTGTTTATTTAACCATATGTTTAATATTATTGTATTTCTATTGTAGGTCACACAAAAAAGCTGTTATACTGTTAGAATAAAGAAACAAAGAAATACCTTAAAACTGTTATTTTAATTAAAGGATACATCTACATAATGCAAAAATGCTCATACTTACTTTTCGATAAATTGGATGAAGACATAAGTCTTGCCTTTGAGTCTAGTTATTTTGGAAATTTTTCCATACTTTGAGAAAATATGCTCTAAATGTTTTTCACTTACAGCATTGGCGCCTGAAAATAGATAGCGAACGGTAACTGAACAGGTTCAAAGTAAAATTCTCTTTTTAATGGATGGAGTAAAGTATTTCAATTAGATACTAAATTCTGTCTCTAGGCCTACCTCTGATTTTCAAGGCAAATTTTGGAGTACACCTTAGTTAATAGTTGTATATTTTTATATGCAAGCATAATTCAAATGATGGCCAATTTATTAGCGAGTTATTTTAATCATTACTAGTGTACCCATCAAAATACAATTATTTCCGTGCAATTACGATTTTTGAGTCATTAGCTTTGGTTCAGATATAAAAACTGTAATTCAAAATCACAGTCTAATCAAACTAAAAATTTTCCAAACACTGTGGACAGCAATAAATCACGTAAATAACAAAATAAAAGAGTCTAGTAAGCTACTGCTACATGCTGTTTCAGGACAGAGGAATAAGAAAGATAAAAACATTAGATAACTCATAAAAACCTAATAAAACTATACAATCCTAGTACTTGAAAATAAAAACACTCTTCAATATAATATAACATTGAAATAGAAACATCCTTTATTCTTTGTCTTTGTTCTATTCTTTCTTGGGTTTTTTTTTCATCCGCACATTCTACAAGTTGCCATGGTTACTAATCAGGCAACCACAGGCTACCAAAGTTGCCATGGTTACTATTTACAATCATTATGTCATCATCAGTTGTGACAACGTACTCCTTACAGGAGTAGGCTGTATAAAAAAGGTTATGTAACATAATTTTAGAGGTATCTATTACAGCGGTTAATCAAGGTTCTACCTTTTCTACTGTACTAGTATTGTATATTTATACTCCGTTTACAAAATTTAGGCGGTTTGAGGAGAGGTTTCCCCACTACTTTTTGTGCTTATTATATATATGTAGCAGCTGATTGACGGTTTGGCAAACCTCAGCTGTTGAGCTATTGTTTTGACAGTAGGATGAAGAAGTGGAGGGGATAGATTTCTTCCCCTAAAACCGCCTAAATTTTGTGAACGAAGTACTGTATAGTATAATAGACTGTTACACCAAGACACAGCATTGTAGATCCTGTCTCGGTCAGGTCTGGTCTCACCTGACTGTGTCCCCTGTATTAAAGTAAATACTGTAAGTTCAGGTGCAATCAAACAGATGTGAGACTTTCTAAATTGTTTCAATAAACAATTCCCTGAGGCTCAAAGAATAACTACAGTTCAACTGTTTTCGAAAACAACTAATTTTATTTTAATTGAGAACTTACCAGGGACGAAAATAGTTTTGTATCTTTTGTCAAATTGCTGCTGATTCCACAAATGCCTTTTCCCATTTATGTGTTGATCATACAAATTTAGATGAAGTGTGAGATTGCATGCCTCACAAAAGAAGTTATTCTCCATCATCGGTTCCATCGGAAAAAAGTAAGTCCCCTGAAAATGTAAATCAAATGATAAAAACTGCCTCTAAAAATGTATTGCACGCCAAAACCTCAAGCTGGATTGTTAGCAGAGTGAATTAAAATTATTTGTTCTTAGTGATTTTTTTTAAATTCACAGTAAAACCCCTCAACAGTATTTCGAATTAGTAAGATTCTACTAGTATTCTTTCAGTATTTCAAGATTTTTTGTGAAGATTTAAAACAAGTAAACCAATAATAGGTACAATATAATACAATATAATATTTCAAAAGCTGAAAATAACTTATCTATGTTTTTGTTTATTTATTAATTTAATATAATACAATTACATCAATTCTCTTGAAATGTGATTTTTCACAAAGTCTAATACTACATTTAAAATAATAAAATAGCTTACACAAGAAGAAAAAACATATAGGCAAATAGGAAAAAAAACAACAAATAGGTTACAAACCTATGGGAGAAGTAATATTTTTTTTAAATATAAACACCTTCCAAATATTTTTCTAGTTTCAGTAAAATGCTCTTTCCAAAATACATTTTTTAAAGATAATTAAAATTTAGAGAACTAGGCAATTTTTTTTAGCTCAGCAGGTAATTTGTTGCAACATTTTGGTAATTATTGTTTGTTGTAAATTTTTGGCCCCATATACTGAGGAGATATATTAGAGCCTATGTTTAACTGGTTTTATAATATTTCTGGATCTTGCGTTATGTGGATGAACTTGTTGACAGTCCAAGAATGTGCCAAAATCACTTTTAACCAATAATGCCAATTTGTAAGTATAAGAGCTAAAAAAGGTTAAAATTTTAAATTAAACAAATCAGTCTTTATAATGTGTTCCACGGGGGACTCTGGCCATTAATCTTACAGTTCGTTTTTGGAGAATAAATATTTTTTGCTTGATGAGCCCCATACAGTCATCCCATAGCTCATAATCGATGAAAAATATGTGTGATATACATTTGTGTTTGTAGATTAGTAGTATCCCAAATTATTGTAAGAACCAGTAGCGGCGATAGCGAGCCCTAGGGGGGCCCGTGAGCCTTGACCGGGATTTTCACGGGCCCGCGTTAGTGTGACAAGCTCAGCCACACAGGTCCCATTTATATGAGTTATGAGAATTATAATATGTTTTTTTATGATGAAAATTTGATCAAACCTATAGTTCAAGTAGTGTACAACAGCTAAACCAACACCATTACTTGACCGATCGATATAAATTATCTACCAACCTAAGTAAAAGAATTGTCATCAGTCATGCGGGTTGCATTAACTGTCCTCGTGGATTGTGTGAAGGCGCAGAAAAAAATTGGTTGCATAATAATAGGGCCGTATTTATAACCAATATGGCCTCTGGCCTAGGAAGATAAACATTAATGTTAATCCTCATAGCCCCCAGCGGGTGACACCATAGAGGATCCTCTATGCTGATTCGACTAAATAAACTTGACAATTTTGTTGCGACGAAATCGGCAAATTAACCTAGGTGGCTAGGGCACTAGCTAATAAATAATTCCATTATTAAATTGATGCTAAAGAAGGATTTTCATTTCATGTTATGTCTTACTATTAGGAGGCTGCCCTTTAGATTTGCTTACTTTGCAGTTTAGATATGTTTACATCGAGTCAGGTAAGAATGTTACTTACCTAAGGGCCTCAGGTCAAATCAGATCGGTTCAAAATCGGGTTGCTTTGGAAGCGGTTGATTTTTATAATAGGCCTATAATGTCGATTTTCGGGCCGAGCAGAGCCTGGACTACAAGCTTGAGAGATCAAGCACAAAGTCAGAAAATCAAGCTAAAGCCGATTTTCACAGTATTCAATACAATAATGCACAATTAAAAGTAAAAGCTTTTACATCCGTGAGGATCACGCTCACGAAATTGAAAGATAGGCATAGGCTTTTGCCGCGATCGCGGATATAGACGAGAATATTTCCTCTCGGGTGACGATGACGATTTCTCCGCGGCCACAGATGTTCAATATTTTGCCACAATTACAGAAGACGATAATGACGTTTCTTTTTTAGCGAGAGATATATCTAGGATTTAGCCTTGATTACGGAAAAATGATTTACCCGTCACCACCGACGGGTCCCGGGGAGATATTAGGCCTTGATATTAGATTGGGCCGTGAACGCGGGAGACGATGATGCTGCTATCTAATGATGTCATAGGTTGTTGCATTTGTAATCACGGTAAACTATGATAATCTTTCTTCCATGACTTATGACTACCGGAAATATTTAAGATTTTGCCGCGATCATAAGACGATAATGACGCCTCGGGAGATACCTTGTCAAGTTTATTACAAAATTGCAAGTTTAGGCGGGAAAATGTTTTTAAAGATTATTGGAAGAGGGGGGCCCGGCGAACAAACTTGTGGGGGGGGGCCCGCGGGTTCTTTTCGCCGCCACTGGTAAGAACAAATGTTGCTGAGCGTAGTCTTTTTGATAGGGTTTTAACCTTTTTTTTTGCCAATTTAGTTGTGAATCAATATCGATTCCCAAATAACTTATTGACTGGTGTGAATTAATTGAAGTTAAGTTTGTATTTTAAATGATTTCTTAGTTAATATTGGTAATATTTAATGCAGAAAGCTGAATTAGTTGAGTTTTTGCCACATTTATGGACAGACCATTTACTGTAAACCAGTCCCCAAGGAGTTGAAATTCCTTAATTATTAAAGCTTGTATGAACTCATTGTTTTGACCTGTACAAATTAGAGCGGTATCATCTGCGTATTGAAAGGTGGACATCTTAGTAGCATTGCACAGATCATTAACATCTGTAATAAATAAACAAGGGCCAAGAATGGAGCCCTGAATAACTCCACAGGTGTTAAGGTTCCGCTCTGATTTATAATTTCTCTGGATTTTTGTACAACAAGTCTTTGTTTTCGTGTTTTTGAATAATATAAACCATTTTAATTCAGTATTTTTTTATTCCATTATGTTTAATTTGTTTCGTAGGACTTTTGTTTTCACGCTCTTGTTTTTTATGGTCGGTGACAACCCTGTCTATTGGCCAAAAACAGTTATCACTGACATCGAAATTGGTTATCACTTCAAAATAGTTAGTAGAATGATAATTTAGAGGTAATTATAAGATAATACAAACAGTTTAATCATGTTTTACATTCATCAATGAACTTGTAAAAGCTCATTAAAGCTTTACCGAGACATTTGTCATTAGACACTAGACGGTCTTGAGAACTTTATCTTGGACAAGTAGTGAAATATGTGTTAGGAGTATTTACTCACTTTACACTAAGAGAACAGTAGTTAAGAATAAGCTAGTTACAAACACATAACATCAGAAAAACAGCAAATACAATGTCAACAGCTGATAGGTCTTAAAGACATTGTTGAACATACGTTTTCTTGAAAGCAGTAGTATTTTGTTGTTACCTTTGAGAATTGAGAAGATTAAATTAATAGTTCATTGAAAAAAAAAAAATAATGATTTAAGTACTACCATCGACTAATAAAATAGTGAAAGCTACTACTTACCACTTTTGGCCTCAATAACTTTTTTGAAATATTGAGTCCTTATAAATCCGTCCTTGTCTCCTTTGGTAGCAACAGAATATTCTGGTGTTAGAAAAAATTCAATGCCATCTGAAAAAAAAACTGAAATAATGTTTTTTGCATAAAATATTATAGCACCTAGAAAAATGACAAACATTAAATTCCAAATCCAAAAATACTTTCACACATGTGTAGATTACATAGGTAGGTAGACTTCAAACTTTTGTGGGCTCTGACTACAGATCACATGGCAATATAACAGGTGTTGTAAAAAGTATTGTGTACTGGATAGACACAATCATCAGTTGTAGTTAGGGGTTTGACCAGCATTACGGGTAAAGTATAAGATTACAACCCTGATGTAGTGACAGGTGTCCAGTGAAATGTCAGGCTTGAATTGTCCAATCCCAAAGTGGGTGACTATCTGAAATTTTAATTTCTTCCTTATTTCTTGATGATAATTTATGTGACGTAAAAGGTGCTGCATATATACATAATTTTTTTCAATTTTGTTTAGTTCAAAAGATTCCAAATTTGAAGTCGGTAGTTTACATCAGTGTATACTGCTGGTGGCTCAATCCAATAATGTCAATTTTGTTTCTAAAACAGCTACAACTTTAACACGGAAATAGATCTATCAATAGTCCAAGCTTGTCCCGAGCCACACTAACCTCGCATGGCGGCTCCGCAGTCGATGTGAATGTATATGTCATCATATTTGGTCACCCCTCGTGTGTGCCAACTGTCAGCAGCGTAGTACGGAGAGCAGTAGAGGTACCCTGTCTTAGGAACCTTCAGACCGTGTTCTGACACAAAGTCCCAGTCAGACCCGTTGATGCCGTGGATAACAAAGCCCAGCGGAATATACAGCACATCCGGTATAACAGACCAGTCCTCTTGCTCTTGCTAAGATCATACGGTATTAGTAGTGTTGAGTGAAAGATGTGCGGACGGAAAGGTATACTCAATGACAGGTACAAGCCAGGGTTGGAGTATGAGCAGGTGGAACTTAAATTTAAATATTTAACTAAAAGAAAATGTTTGTTAACATGTTGGTTCAGACAAACCTGGGTTTTCCACCTACGGCACTATATGCATGCATCAATTTTTGTTTTATATATTTTCTTATAAATTGAATTAATAGATTGATCGACTTAGTGAAATTCCAGCAAACCTAACCTCAATAATAACGAACCTTTTTTAACGAAATCCCCGATATAACAAATTATCAGTTCGGAACCTATCATGGTTAGAAAAAATCCTATTTGTAAAAATCCAACCAGGCAAGTGGGAATTCACTTAATCTGCAGGTTTGCTGCAGCATGGGTATTATTTACCTTGATAGGATGCTCCTTCCGAGCTCGAATGTACAACTGTTGTGTGCTCGGTGATTCTCTCAGTTTAAAGTTATGAGGCTCGTTGTTGGCTACAG